AAGTCTCTAGTACTTGAAATACGTTTTTTACAAATTTGGGGATAAGGGGGCGTGGTATCCAAAATCTGTTGATTACAAAATGTTTGTATTCATCACGATGGACGGACGGACAGAGCTATATCGACTCAGCTCGTCGTGCTGAAAATCCAAGTCTTCCCTAAAACCGGGTTGCATAAATGCAACACGTGGTTAAAATAGGAAAGAAATGGATTGGAAAGTATTTTGAGAAATGGAGAGTACAGAGTTCCGACCCTAATCCAATTGAAATCTTTTGTCAATCTTAAAATGACGAATTGGACAGAAAAGACGACTAGGGATATTGTAAAAGCGGAATATAATAGAATTCCCAAAAAGTTGGTTTAATCATTTTTATAAAACGTGCAATTTGTGTATTTATTGTTTTTGTCATTCAAACTCTGAATTTATACAATGTGTAAAAAAACAATAAATAAAGAAAATATCCTTATTTGTTTTTTTTTTTTCGCGCTCGTTGTGAAACAAATTTTGTGAACTACTATACTATTTTAAGCAAGTTTATCGAGTTACTTACCCAGCATTTACCCAAACTAGGTCTCCAGGCTTCTGAATGAACCGGTAGACTGGAATATTTTCTTTATATAAATCTTCTAAAACAGGCCACCACGAGCCGTGTAAATAGCTGATATTGTTTTTTTCACAAAGATTGTGGATGCCACCCCAATAAGAATCTGGGACTGCAAACCATTCGCAGTCTCCTGGACCAATGTTAATATTAATTGAGCAAAAATTATTATTTTCTTGATGCCCAGGTGTTCTACTTCCAGGCACTTTCATATATAATTGCACAGTGTTCATTCCCAAAATGACGTGACCTACATGAGACAACATATTGGCAGCAGAAATTACTCTTGCAAAAGCTGGTAATTTTTGTAATTCGCTTAATTGCGGTTTCCATTTTCGTTCATCAGAAAGATCAACATTGGTTCCGAACCTATTAAACAAAAATATTAATATTAGCATCCGAAAAAATATATTTTAAAATTTTTGTATTACCTTAGCATTTTACTACCGTTTTTTGTTTTTTTGCGTTTTAAATTAATATTTGAATTAGATACAGAGTCCTTCGAATCGGAGTCCGACATCACTTGCGATCCAACTGAGCCTTTGTCGCCTTCGTCCTTAATTTTCATCATTATTATTAATTTATCGATGCTCAACACAATGTGATGCTAAATTTATTACCTTTAAACTGTCTTGAAAGCTTGATGCCTGATACTGAGCATATTTTGCTATAGTTGTATGAGATCGATGAGATATACAAGCCCAAACTCTCTTTGCTTGAGATATATCCCAGTTTTCATCAGGAGACTGGTTCACTTGGGTTCTGACTTCTACGCTGTGATCCGGGTTAGCTTCGACTAGTGTTTTAGTTGAAAAAAGTCCCAAATCTAATTTAAGAGCGCCTGCTAAGCCGCGTACAACTGCAATAGGATGCTTTAGACAAAACTCCTGCAACTGTGGACTAAATGCATTTTTTTTATTTTCCAAGTGGACCGACGGGGTTGGTGGTAAGAGTTGTTCCCTTGAAAGTTTCTGTGGGGGACAATCCGGTGGCGTTGGCGGGGGGGCATTTCTCAAAAAAACGGTAAAATTGTTCGGTGGCTCATGAACGGGTAAAAGCTGTACTGCAGACCATAATTGCTTAGACTCCATGTGTATATTGAATTTTGGTGATGTATCGGGATTAATATCATATTCAATTTTAGTCTTCTGTTTAATAATATAACTATCATCAGTGCTTTGTGTTGAGCTTTCATGCTTAACATAGTTTTTGCTATCATCGGTATAACTTTGGTTAAAGTCTTCAATTAATTCCGTAGAGTTTTGACTGCATGTACTAATTGATTGACCTATTAAGCCTATTAAGGATGTACAATATGTATGTTTAATTAATATACTAATTTTTACCACACAAAAAGTCATTAAATGTTTAGATCGAAACTGAGTTGGTTGCCATTAGACAATAGATGCATTAAAATATTAATTATTGTAGATATTCATTTATCATTCTTCTTACCTAATGAAACCTCATTTTTCGAAGAAACATTTTGTTCCATATCAACTGATTCTTCTTTAATAATTTTAATTGGTGATGCATCAGAAAAATACGTATTTATTCTTCCAGGTGAAACATCACTTTCATGCGTTGCTGATGAAGACATACTGTTATTAAGAGGACGAAAGTTTGAAGCGTTTAGCTGTGGTCCAAGTTTTTCTTGCTGCGCACCAAATATTTTTTTATTTTGTTGTGAGAATTGTGTATTAATTTGTATTTTCTCTGATCTATTATTAATCGTGGACATTTCAGTATCATCATCTTTTGCTCGTTTTGCAGGCGTTGGATTAGTTTGACTTCCATGATTATGTGGGTAGGGTGGCGGCGGCCCCTATATAAATTGAGCGTTCGAAAAATATTCTCAATTATATAAGTAAAAAGGATTATTTCCAAATAGTAAAATTAAACAAGAGTGCTATAGGCGAGACTGCTCGTCTAGGCATACCCTGAGCCCTGCAAAGACCAAATATGTTATTCATTCTGAACTTATTTTATTCACACATACACAAACACATGCAAACATATATATGGATGGCGCACTGCTAAGGACAGGTGTCCGTTGCTGCATCTTTGTAGGCAACTTAAATGATCTTTAATTTTTCCGACACAGAGACAGACAGGACAGACCAGCAATATATGTCCTATATACAAGGTAATAGAAAGGACGAGTGGGCTCATATAAGAAATTATTTTTTTTATATATTTAAAATATATTTTTTTAAATATTTAAGTCGTGATAACATACAACTGCATTTTATTTGCAAAAGCACATTTTACAATTTTAAGGAAATAGAGTTGATATAGGGGTTTGGGTTGATTAAAATAAACAAGTTAGAAGGCTCTAGTCGAGACTGCTCGACTAGGAGATACCCTGAACCATCCAAGCTGATATTC